ATTTTCCTAAAGCAGAGATAACTTTAGGTTTCGTTGTTTAGATTTACTTTTGGTAGTTTAATAGGTAGGAAGTGGTATCTTTAAAATATTACAATTTATTTTTCTTCAGTTAGTGAGAGTCTTTTTTCTCAAGTGCTGATTTGATTTTCCTGGTTAGTTAAACTGCCTGTTTTGTATCCTTTAACAGGTTGTGTTAGTCATTGTTTGCCACATAATAATAAATGATAGGTAAATGTTGAATTGGTTTGGTTTATATGGTAGACGTTAAGGTTTATCTATCATAATTATTGCAGATATCACTTCCATTTGTTGTATCCTTTAAATTTTTTTTTTTGTCCTTTTTGAGACCGGCCGCACTGCACTCAGCCAGTGAGCGCTGTGAGCACACCGGTCATCCCTATATAGGATCCGAACCCGCGGCGGGAGTGCTGCTGCGCTCCCAGCTCCTCACTCTCCAGAGTGTGCCACGGGCTCAGCCCGTATCCTTTAAATTTTAGATTTGTTTTTTTGTTGCATGAAAGTTTATTTTACATAATTGGTGCTGTTGATTTGTTGCTTATGCTTTCTTCTGTTGCCCATAAATTTATCTCTTTTCCACAGATGAGATAAATATGCTGTCCTGTTTTTGCCAAAATTTTTTGAATGCTTAGTTCTTTTTATAGTTATAATTATAGCATATGGTGTGGACCTGTTTTTCTCCACATTGATATTCAGTTTTTCTGACAATATTTCTTAAATACTAAATTTTCTTCATTTAGTCCGTATTTTAAATTTGATCATTGTTTTGATATTTCTAGTCTCCTATGAGTTTTTATACTTTTAATTTGATCATTGTTTTGGCATTTCTAGTCTTATGAGTTTTTGTACTTTTTTTATTGTGGTAAAATATGCATAACATAAAATTAACTATTTTTACCATTTTTAAGCATACAATTTACAGCATTAAGTACATTCACAATGTTGTGCAGCCAACAATGTTGTTATTCTTTGACAAATTGTTTAAATCTCTGAATTCCAGTTAAGTTCGCTATAATATGAGGATGATACCACCTGTGTCTTAGGATAGTTGTTGCAATAGGATTTGGTGAGTCAGTGAATGTAAAAATACTTGGTGTATTATATATACTCACTAAATGATAGTCTCTTACCCTCAGCCATTATAATTGGTTTTAAAGACTGGCGTAGGGCAGGTCTTCCTTAATTACCTCTGTTATTCTCCTCCCCCACGAGATATTGTTATTTTTGACTAATTTTCAGCAAGAAATTTGTAGGTATTGGAGTACACCTTTGTTTACGTCTTATTTGAAAACTAATGTATATGTTCTACTGATTATGAAGTCCATTTTTCTACTTTGTATCATCCCACTTCACACTGGTAATAAGCACTGTTTTGTAAGAGACCACAGAAATATTTTCTTATGTTTTGAAACTATTTTCCTGACGCTGTTTCTGACTTTGCCTTATAAGGCCTTGTTTATAAATTAGAATTTATTTTGAACTGATATATTTAGGATTTAGGTTGTGCTTTGGGTATCAGGACATTTGCCTCTGAAGTCATTAATAAACCCCCCCGACAATAAATCAATAATTGTTGAATAACAATACTTGAAGCAATCATCTTAAAGCCATTAGAAGGGAGTATTTGCTTTTTGTTTTCATTCTTCAAGTTATATAATAAGTATTGTTTGAGGATGCCTTGGTAAATTAAACATTTGCTAATTGACCTACTTCTTTTAAGTGCTAAAGCAATCCACACATTAATAAAAATCTTAATAAAAATGTGATTGACCTACTTCTTTTAAGTGCTAAAGCAATCCACACATTAATAAAAATCTTAATAAAAATATGCTTCATAACAGTTATATTGTTTGATATTTTAGAAGATGAGTCTCATGGATGTAATGTCAGGTTATACCAATGGTAAAAAAATGAAACATTGAACTAATACACAGAAATGAAAATACTATGGTTTTTATTGTAATTCTGTACTTAAGTACTGGAACTTTGTGTCTATGTTATATAACACGTTCATCTCATTGCTAGTAAATTTGACTTCTGATTGTAAAACATGTGCCACTTGCAGAAAATGGTGTGAGATCTTAATATAAAAAGTTTTAGCACACTTGTGAGTGCTGGGAATGTGATGACTATTTGCATTTTTATGTTATGTTCTTATATTTCAGGTCTTTTAGGTAAAAATTATTAGAAGAAAGAATATTGTATTGATGGAAAGTAGTTGCATGTTATGATAGAATTACATATTTTCTAAAAAAATACATTTTATACACAAATGTACCAGAATATGTGTTTGCAGACTTCCCACATATCACATGTTTCCAGTAGAATCCCAGAAGATTCTGTAATAAATCATATTATTTCCTTGTAGTCTGCTTTTTTGGTTTAAAAATGATCAGAATTATTGGTGGTCACTGACCAGTGACTTTGAGATATCAAGCCTGATTTTTAAAGTTCTTTTCTTCTAAATATAGAAATTGGGTTAGCTGGTTAGCTCAGTTGGTTATAGTGCAGCTTTATAACACCAAGGTCACAAGTTCAGATCCCTGTACTGCCAGCCGCCAGAAAAAAAAAAATTATCTATTCCCTTTTTATTCCCCTAGATTGAAAAGCTGAGAAAATAAATGTAATTTTAAGATGGAAACAACAAAGGGTGCTTATTTTCAGAGAAGAAATGGAAGAGGTAGAAAGGAATGTCTTCCAATTTTTCCCTTCAAGAAGGTTTTCTTGCAACATAACCATAAGAACTTATCTCAAGAAAAATAAATTCTTCTCTTTCTATTATAAAAGTAATGTAATATTACCATATTTCTAATAAAATTCAGGATTTTAAAATTTGGTCTTGGGTGGCTTGAGAATTTATTTCCCCACTGTTCAGAGTAGTGTTTCTTTTTAAAACCTATGAACTCTTTTGACCAGTAAAAAATCTTACATTCTCTTTTAATGTTGTTCAGATTTTAAATTAGTTTTTATGTTTAAAAGCAAAATTAAAGCACATGTTATTGAGTATCCTTTTTTACAATTCTCTCTTACCCAAGTGGATTTTATAACTCTTCCTTCATGGGGGTGGGTGGGTAATCCCCTCCTTTTTCCCTTGTCAAGAATATGCTAATTAGAGATTGCAGTTTTTATAGTCATGGTCCTCAGTTAAGGAAAATTTGGAATATTATCACTTCTTGCATAGATGAGAGCTTGTCATACAAAAATTTAACAATTGAGGTATTAAAGGCATTACCTTTTTCTAGTGATTGGGTCCTATTTTGCTCTTTCTTAAGGGATAAAATCATATATAAACATAACGTACGTTTAGACAGTACTAAAATCCCATAAAGAAAACACATTTCAGTCTAAAACTACGATAGATACAAACTGGTAAAATAAAAAATGTTTCATCTTTTGAAGTTGTGAATCAGTTTCATGTCATGTTGATTATGCTCTTCTGAGTGGAGCAAAACAAGTTCAGGGAAGATAGCCCCTGTGAGCTTTAGTTATTGCACTCTAATTCTGCAGCACTAGTTATCTACGTCATGTAGTAGGAGAACTTAGCTTTTGAAGCTCTGTATGAGCTACACGTGAGTGCATTGAGCATCAAGTGCTTCTGACCTTTAAGCTTTTTTTTTTTTCTTTTGATATTCTAGATCAGGGCAGGGAATAAAGCTGTGTCAGAGGTGGACGGTTTTACATTTAATAGTATCCCTTACACGTGTTTTCTCTCCTTTTCTTTTCTTTTTTTTTTTTAAAGATGACCGGTAAGGGGATCTTAACCCTTGACTTGGTGGTGTCAGCACCGCGCTCAGCCAGTGAGCGAACCGGCCATCCCTAATGTGGGATCCAAACCCGGGGCCTTGGTGTTATCAGCACTGCACTCTCCCGAGTGAGCCACGGGCCGGCCCTCTCTCCTTTTCTCATTCTGGAGTGTGGCTCTAAAAGTGTGTTGTACTGCACCAAGACAGTAGTAGAAGTAGAGTGGTGGTATACTGGCACAACTGAAGTTTTGTTTTCCTTTTCATGTTATTTATTTTTATTTCTTCTGCAATAAAATTCTGTACTTTAGCTTTGTACTTGTATGTTAAGTTAGGTACAGTGGATGGTAGAAGAAGTAGAAACGTGTGACTAACTAAAAGTAAGTAATCGCATCTATTTGGGAGAAGTGCTATTCTCATTTTTGTTAAATGTAAGTAGATTATTTCATATTTATAATATATTTATTTTCTAATTTCTGTCTGTCTCTTGTCAGGGCACAGTAAGGTGGTCTTACCATTAAATGTAGGGCTTAGAATCCTATTTTTCTTTTTTCTTATTTGAGAATCAGGACAAGAGCAGGGACTGAGAAGGTAAAAATTTTGCTTAAATAACTAGGCAGTATATTTAGTGGAAGCTTACTATTTCAGAATTAAATTGGGCCCTAGCTTTACATGATTATTTTTCCTTAATTCTGAAATTCAAGGTTTCACTTTACTTATTTTCATTATTAAGATCCAGAAGAATTTTCTCCTTTAAATTGATTACATATAGACAGATAGTTGGTTTGATTGTATTTGATAATCCAGTTTGTCCTATTTAAAGTGATTCTGTGTATTATGTAAATGTTCCACATTAAAGCAGATTAGATGTTATCATAACTCACTGACTTGCTAGGTCAGTCTCTATCATTTTAAATGTAACTCTAATCCTTAAAAAAATTGTTTTTTTTATCTGCACATGGCTGTCATTGTAAAATGTTTAATGCAATTAGGCATGATAGTAACCAGCAGAAGTGGTTCCGCGTGTTGGCTTTTGCAAGGTATTATAAAAATCACTGTGTACGCCTCTCTTGACTTGGTGCAACATGTCAATTTTGAAAAGCCATGTGCAAGTTTGAGATTTTGAGATTGGAACTCACGTAGAAAGCTTGAGGTAGCAAATTATTAAAAAATCATTCTCTGATGGCCTCAATGATAATACTTCAGGTATATAAAGCTTTGAATCCCCCCCTTTTTGAACAGACTGTGAAGACAGAGAGACTTTCAATCCAGTCACATAAGGATAATAAAGAAATATCAGTCCTCATGGAAGAAGAAGATTTACCAGAGCAACCAGTAAGTATTTCCTTTAACAATTTAAAGTTGATTGTAGAAAAGCTAATCTTAAGAGATTTTAAATATTATTCAATTATACTTACAGATTCCAAATTAGAGATAAAAATAAGGAAAAGACTCTTTAATAGTTTTCTTCTAAGAAAACAATGTTATACGTCCTTAAATTCATATTTTGCTGACTTAATTCTAGGAAGTCTGTTTAGAAAAGTAGCATTACAAAGTGAATATTGTATTGGGAATGTCATTAAAAAAAAAAACAAACTAGTGGCTAGTGTTACAGTTTTTAGGGAATAAAAGAGGATATCTATTTACTGGTCAGACAGTATGTCAGCATTTCTGCCAGAAAATTTAGCTTTATTTTTCTCCAAATTTCCCTAATTGACTTAATTTAAAAAATACTGGTAGTGAGGAAAGTATAATTTGACCACTAGCTAATTCTTAAAAAAGAAAAAAAAACTAGACAAGACCTGGAGACTAGATCGAATTCTTAATTTCTTTTAAATATTTAATGTAATAAATAGATAATTCTAAATGTCCCCAAGTGACATAGATTTATTGCCTTGCCATGGCTTGTTTTTATTTTTTGGTCCTTAACACTTAAAAAAGTAAAGCAATAGTGTCATTCTTTTAAGATAACTTTTATGTTAAAGGGCTTTTTCTTTTTGTCTTGAGTTTCTTTTTCTGAAGTTAGATAAATACGGATTCAATTTGCTATCTTGGGTGGGCCTCTTGCATTTCATATTAAGAGAAGATACAAAATGTTACATGTTCACTTTTCTTTATGAAAAGCCAACCTAGGGGCCGCCCGGTGGCACACTGCTACAGTGCGCCGCTTGGGAGTGCGGCGGCGCTCCCGCCGAGGGTTCGGATCCCACATACAGACCGGCTGCTCACTGGCTGAGCGAAGTGCGGGCGCAACACCGAGGGTTGCGATCCGTTGCCGGTCACGAAAACAGACTCCCACATACAGACCGGCTGCTCACTGGCTGAGCGAAGTGTGGGCGCAACACCGAGGGTTGCAATCTGTTGCCGGTCACGAAAACAGACAAAAAAAAAAAAAGGAAAAGCCAACCTAGAAATATTTGAATTTTGAAAGCAGATAATGGGATAAGTTTTTCATGTTCTATATGTACTTTTCATCACAAAAGGAAGGAGAGTGGCTTCCATTTAAATAATTAAGTTCTTTAGTATAATTTTAATATTCTTCTTTATGTTGAGAAATACATACCGATGATTACTTTGCCATTGTTCTTTTAGCCCTCTTACTTGTAAGTATAAAACTAGAAAGACATAAGCAGCTGATAAAAAGACCTTTTGAAACATTTGAAATGTGATCCCCTGTCCCTGGTGGGACATTATTAATCAGGGAAATGGTAGGGTTAAAAATCATTCTGAGTAGTGTACACTATTGGAACAAATAGCTGAATTATAAACACTAAATGTACCGAAGAAAATTATGTCATTGAGTTTTTAATGTAGTAAGACACATTTTCAATGTAGTAAGTCATGTTTTCAAAAGACTTATGTAAGTATTGACATACTGTTGAAATAGGTATTTTTGTTAGTAATGAGAATTAGGAGGCTGACGTGAGAGAGACGAGTCATCTCTTCTGCTCTGCTTCATTTCCTTGTTCTGTTCAGCTTCTATAACATGTTGTGCAAAACTTGATTGTTACTTCAGGAGAAGGTAAGAAATTGATGCACTTTAAAACCAAATTTTCTGCTGACTATAAATTGTTATTGTCATGGGGCATCATTTCCTTATTGATCTGTGCCTGGGTCTTATAAAGTTGACCGAGTAACAACGTGGAGAGGTCAATGCCATTGGAAGAAAAGTTTAATGTTACTCATGGTTCCCCTAGAAACCAGAGGCACAGCATGCTACACGGGGCCACAGGAGGAAGGAAGCACCAGTGTCGGTCAGTAGATGGAAAGAAGCAAGGGGAAGGGATGGACCACAGATTTTACTGGGGTTTGCACAGGAAAGATAAGGCAAGGCAGGGTAAACAGTTTAGGACTGGCCAGTTTTAATAATTCTAGTGGCCTTTGTGGCCTAGGGGCTGTCCCTAGTTGGTACCTCGTCCTTGGTTGATTTAGGGCAGTAGAAACAGGTACTTGGTGTGTGAGAGTTAGATAAAGGAGATGGTTTAGAGTATGAGCTCTGGATCACAGGAGAGATGTAAACAACTTTGGCTTTTACTTTTGGCCCTATGATTAATGGATGCCAAATGGATAAATACAGAATCTAAGAAAACACAGAACACTTAAAAAATAGAATAGGAAGAGTAAATGTCACACTTTGAGGAGAAAAACAGCTTTTCACAGGCTGTACTAGAGATCTAAAATATAATTGGAGAGAGTAGTCCTGTCCCAAGTTGATGATAAAGCCAAGATTTAAAAAAAATTTAATTTTTTAAAATTTTAATTTATCAATACAATGTAGTTGATTTTTGTGTCCCTTTACCAATTCCTCATCCCCCCTCCTTATTTCCCCTCCCCCCATCAACATCATATCTGTTCATTTGTCTTAACAAGTTCAAGGAATTGTTGTGATTGTTGTCTCTTAAGTTGATGATAAAGCCAAGATTTAAAAAAAATTTAATTTTTTAAAATTTTAATCTATCAATACAATGTAGTTGATTTTTGTGTCCCTTTACCAATTCCTCATCCGCCCTCCTTATTTCCCCTCCCCCCATCAACATCATATCTGTTCATTTGTCTTAACAAGTTCAAGGAATTGTTGTGATTGTTGTCTCTTCTTCCCCACCCCGCCCAAAGCCAAGATTTTTAACCCTACTGTTTACCTGTATATGGGGAAAAATGTTACTGATGGGCATTATTATTGAAGTTATTTTAATCCCATCATATTTTCTTGACTCTTCTTACTGAATTATCCCTGCTCTTGTTTCTCTACTACTTGCTTGCTCTACCTAAAGATTTTATTCAGGTCATCATTCACAATGCAACATAAATGCTAACCTCAGGTTCAACTTCATTTTTTGCATGTCCCAACATCATTTGTTGAAAAGACTATTCTTTACTTATTGAATTGTTTTGGCACCCTTGTTGAAAGTCATTCGACTGCAAATCTGTTAACCTTGTTGAAAATCAATTGACCATAACTGTAGAGGCCTATTTCTGGACTCTCAATTCTATGCCATTGACCCGTATATTCATATTCCTGCCAGTACCACACTGTCTTGATTACTGTAGCTTTGTAGTAAGTTTTAAAATGTGAGAAATGTGAGTCCTCCAACTTTGTTGTTCTTTTTCAAGATTATTTTGGCTATTGTGGATCCCTTTCATTTTCATATGAAATTTGGGATCAACTTGTTAATTTCTCCAAAGAAGCCAGCTGGGATTTTGATAGGAATTGGGTTGACTCTGTAGGTCAATTTGGGATGTATTGCCATCTTTACAAGATTAATTCTTCTAATTCATGAATGTGGGGTATCTTTCCATTTGTTTAGTTCTTCTGTAATTTCTTTCAACATGTATTGTAGTTTTTCATTATATAGGTTTTACACTTTTGTTAAATTTATTCCTAAGTGTTTTATTTCTTTTGGTGCTATTGTAAGTGGAATTGTTTTCTTAATTTCATTTTTGGATTGTTCAGTGCACATTTATAGAAATGCAATTGATTTGTATATGTTTGTCTTTTATCTTGCTATCTTGCTGAATTTGCTTGTCAGTTCTAATTTTTTTAATGGATTATCTAAGATTCTGTATATAAGACTATGTCACATGCAAAGAGAGGTAGTGATTACTTTTAATCCTGACACGGAGAGAGTGCTTTTTCAGCCTATTGCTTTCCCACCTGCTGGCAGCCTGTCAGCATTTATTTCTCATTGTATTCCGTAAGATACAGAAGTAGTTTACCTTCTGTATTTGAAGATTGCGCTAACAGTATACTTCTCACGAATATTGCTAAGTGGATATGGCCTTAATCCCATGCATACCAGTTGCTTGTATAATCTGTACTGATTTTATTAACTAAATTTGTTCCCTATACACAGGTTGTTTGGAATCTTGTTTACTTACCTTGCTGTGTAGAGTTTTTAGTATTCATTATTGCAGAAACTGTATTACTCTGTAAAATGTTGATCCAGTTGCTATTCAATCTTTGCTATTCCTGTGAAAAACCAGGACTCATTTTCTGTCAGTTTCTGGGTTGCATTGCTTGAACCTGTATTTGTGAAATCTGTCTGTATTGAGTTAGTTTACCTGCCTCTAATGTCCAATAGCAAGCACATGCTTCCTGTCCCTTGGAGGGGGCATAAGTGCCCAAATCAAAGCAAACAGTGGGCCTTGTGAGATAAAAAATTATCTGGTAACACATTTTCCTCCCCCAGACTTTTCTGTTTGGTAGATGTGACTTTAGGAACATTTTCTTCATTTTTGTTTAAGAGTACTTATTCTTCATACTAGGTTGGCACTGTAATAAATAAAAAGTGAAGGAGCATACCTCTTTTTTTTTTTTTTTTGAGTTGATTAGGTAAATTTGTAACTCCATAGCTCTAATAAAATTAAAACTGTGATAAATTAGGTTTCCAAAGGCTCATATTTTCTTTGTAAGGATTATTGTTTGCAGACTATAGGCTGTTTTGGTTACTCAGTCAGTCAGTTCATAAATACATTTCTTTGATACCAAAGAAGGTCTTTGGATGAACTGAGAATAAATTCATCCCTACTGTTTGAAAAGTACATTATTATCTGACCTTATATAAATACTGTCATCTTCAGGTAGGAAGGACAGAACATTTTGTATCAAGGGCCTATATTTTGTCACTTGTGAAATTATGGCAGGCAGATAAACTAAATAGTTTTATTTTTCTTGTCTTTAGCCTTACAGCTTCTAGTCAAAACACTTTTCCAATGTTTCTTAGGTCAAATCATTTTCCCTTTCAGTAAGATTATGTCATACATTTGTAATAAGGTTAGATGATTTTGCAACAGTCGGCCTGCTATCCTGGGATCTCTCAACCTTCTGGTTGGTTTATGGTATTTGTCATATAGAAATTTTTAATTTTTGTATAATCGTATCTGTCTATATTTTCCTTTATGGCTTTTGGATTTAATATGCTTAGTAAGGATTTACCCACCTCAAGGTTTTGTTTTTGCATCAAATGCTTCTGTAATTTTGTTTTCAAATTTAGAAGCTTTTTTTTTTTTTTTTTTACCTTTTTTGGTACCTATGAAAATTAAAGCAGAATTGAATATAGCACGTGACATGCCATAAGCAAAGAATCAGGAGTGTTTGGTTTTATTTATTTTGTGGTTGTGTCTTCTCATGAGGAATAGATGCCCATGAGAAATTTTATGGGCATTGCATTTATTATTTACCTTGTCTTAAATGTTAAATTTAATCCTGTTAAATCTGTTTCTGGTATATTTTGTTTCAAATTATCTAGCAGAGTTTCTGCCTTTTTTTTTAAGCTTGAAATACTTTTAAATATTCATAATTCAAATGGCTAAGCATACTAAGCATGTTTCTACTGTAACCACTATTATTATTTATTTATTTTTATGGTGGCTGAGTGGAACAGGGATGCGAACCCTTCACCTTCGTGTTATAACACTGCGCTGTAACCAACTGAGCTAAATGGCCAGCCCCATGTAACCAATTATTTTAATGAGAGAGCTCTAAAATCAGATGTAATGTGAAACTGGGAAGTCCATTAGTAGTGTTAACCACTGATCTTCCATTTGTGGATTCTTAAACTGTTTCAGTGGAAATGCCTTCACCCCAGATGGTGAATTATGGAAAAAAGCAAGATAGTGTGAAGAGTATTTTTTAAATTACTGGTAAGCTGATAAGAATTTATATTAATTTTTGGCACTTAAGCAATTTAAGTATAAAGATATTTCTGTTAAATAATGAATAGATGATATCCAGATTGCCATCCTTCCTTTTTGATTAAGTATAATGTGTCAATTATAATATAAAACCAACTAGTTTGTATTAAAATTTGGATAGTTTTATCCTGGTAAACATTCTACTTTGAGTAAAAATCCTGGTAAACATTTTACTTTGAGTCTGTAGAACATTTTTTTCATTAAGAAGAGCTCCATGTGAAAAACAAAGAAGTCTATCTCTAATTCTAAAATATAACAAGGATTAATTAATTAATTCTAAGCAAAACAAAATGAAACAGTTAACCTGTAATATATTAGCTAATATTAGCTTGTTATTTGAGCAGCTAGATGATTTCAAAAACAGATTACTACATTGTACCTTTTTATATTTATTTTTGCAGATTAAAAAAGCCAAGATGCAGGAATCAGGAGAGCAAACTTTAAGGTATGTAAATTTGAATTTATTTTTAATCTACTTATAATTTTTTCACATGTTGATTGGTGTATGGGCATGCTTTGGGTTGACTGCCCTCTTTTTCGTTCTTACCATCAGCCTTTACATTTTGAATTTATTTGGATTAACTTTAGAGGGAAATATTAAAATTTCCCCCAGAAATAGTTTTTCCCCAAAACACACATGCTGATTTTTTCTTTTGCATTCATTATTTATTCACCTCTATGTATTGAATTTATGTTATATATCAGGCACTGTACAATGTAGGGGAGACTTGATGGTAAAGATGAAAATACTGGGCTGGCCCGGTGGCGCACTGGAGAGTGCGCCGCTTGGGAGCGCGGTGGCGCTCCCGCCGAGGGTTCGGATCCCATGTGGAGACCGGTTCCCGCTCACTGGCTGAGCGCGGTGCGGGCGCGACACCGAGGGTTGCGATCCTGTTACCGGTCAGTAAAAAAGACAAAAAGGAAAAAAAAAAGATGAAAATACTGTACTCTTAAGTCAGACGTATAGTATGCAAAATAGGAAGCATAAGACAAAAAAAGGGAAATCCAAGGGATTTGGCATACCAAATGGTTATGGGATGGCTTAGTCATTAGCTCCACTCCTTCTTAAAAAAGAGGCAATTTCTTTGCATCTCATGCTCTGACTTTCACAACACCATGGTTTTCAGTTTTCCACAGTTCTTACCTCTTGTTTGTCCACCAACCATATGAGCCAGTAACTGCATCACCTCTATCTAACACATCAATTTCAAGAATCCTATTCTTTTACCACCACACATCATTCCCCTTATTTATTCTAGAACTACCATGCTAGCCTTATGATGTACTACATGTCAAGTTAAACAATTTATCATATCTTTTCTATCAACCACTGACCCTTCCCTCAAAAAGAACTTCAATTTCTTCCTTACACTGCTTAAATTATAAGATGTACTACTGTAATCAGTCCCTTACAAAACATTCTTAACTTCCTCCCCTTTTTCCGTGTTTCATACTTGCCTAAGTCAATTTCTTCCTTACACTGCTTAAATTATAAGATGTACTACTGTAATCAGTCCCTTACAAACATTCTTAACTTCCTCCCCTTTTTCCGTGTTTCATACTTGCCTAAGAAAACTACAACGTTGATTGAACCCAACTATCTACCTGTTTCATACTTATTCCCAATCACTTGGACATTGTAAGAGAAAAACACAAAATTATTATGACTGGTCTCAGTTTCTGTTCGTGATTACATTTGAAACAGGCACTTAAACACCCTTCCTGTTGTGTCTGATTTTCCAGTGTCTAAAATCATCTTAATTTCCTTCCTTTCCTCCCTCTTTGCCTCCTGCCCTCTCTCTTTCCTTCCCCTCTCTGCTACTCCCATTCGCTCAAGCTGTGGATCTTGCTCACTAATTCAAAGAGAAAAGTAGAAGTGATTAGATAGGTGCACCTTGCGTATCACCAAATTCACCCACTTATCTGCTTCTCTGCAGATTCTGCTTCCCTTTCCTCTGTAATTCCTCTGCTCTTATCTAAGGGCTGACTCCTCCATTTACACTACAGAACCTGTCACCTTTGTCTTTTCCTGCAGTTATCTCTTTTCTTTCCTTCAGCAATTTTTTTGTTATGATAATACATACATAAAATTTACCATCTTAACCATTTTTACCTATATGGTTCAGTGGCATTAAGTACGCAACAGTCACCACTGTCCATCTCTAGAACTTTTTTCATCTTCCCAAACAAACTCCATACTCATTAAACAATAACTCCCCATTCCACTCTCTTCCAGCTCCTGGCAACCATCATTCTACTTTCTGTCTCTATGACTTTGACTACTCTGAGTATCTCATATAAATGGAATTATAAAATATTTGTCTTTGTGTGACTTAGCATGATATCTTCAAGTTTAATCCATTTGTAGCATGCATCAGAATTTCCTTCCTTTTTCAGGCTGAATAATATTCCATTGTAATCTAGACCTCATTTAATTTGTTCATTCATCTGTTGATTGTGTTCATAACGGACAAGAGTTCTGTTGAATGAGAAGAGGAGGTTTTTATGATGCTCACTTTATGGAGTTTGGGTGTTTTTGCTCTTTTTTTTTAAATTTTATTTTCGAACTTTTGTTTCATGGTACATACATTGTTAAGCAAAATTTATGTTTATATAACTAAAAATAATTATATTTTGAGACAGAATATCATTAAAAATTATCAGAGATAATTTTAAATATTTAAGAAAGTGCTGGAGTTAATTTATCTTGGCACTGTTGCTTCTATTTAATCTCTAGCGCTCAGTTGGATATGTTGAATATGCAGGGGATTTTGCTATAACATAAGATTCTTGGGCTATCAAATTTTAGGGACTGGTCTAGTGTATACTAGACCACACAAATATCACCAGCTTCTAAGATACAGTATCTAGAAATAGTCTTCAACAGTGGGTCTAACAGTGAACCCCAGACTTATCGAGGTACACATAGAAGACAAACTAGTCAGTACAGTAAATAATGTGAAATTCCGGTCCAGTTTTATGCTTTTCCCCCTGGGAATTCTGTTTAAGTAGGTGTAAGACAGCGCCTAGAAGTCTGTATTTTTATCAACCATTCAGGTAATCATAATGAATTGGCCAGTTTGAGAAACAGTGGTATAACTACTCCATGTGATTTTTTACCCTTACCCTTCAATTCCCATGCTCACATCTTGGCTAGTACATTAGGTCCTATTCCAAAGATAGTTAGCATTTGAGTGAAAAGGTAAAAATAAACTTTATCTGTGAATTTAGCTTTGAAAATTAATTACATCTGAGAAAAAATTATTTGAAGATTCAAAATATACCAGGAAAATAAACCCTTTATTATGCTTGAATATTAGAGGTCAATTTCAGAAATGATATGAGAGCTTTAAGAACTTTGATGCTGTGTATTTTTTATTTAAATAACATTTCTCTTAAATTTTTTGCTTTATAGAAACTACTCTTACCTTTGATTAGTTAGCTTTATCTTTACAGATAAGGCTAGCCTCTGGTACAGTGTCCTCCACCTTTCCCTGGAGTATGAAAGAGCAAAGCAGATTTCTTTCTAGGGAACATGAATGTGGGAAGGATGCCTGGGCTGGTAATAAGTTGTAATATAATAACAGTTACAGTTATATTGTGCCTACTGTGTCTTTGCTTTGAGTACTTTTTATATATTAACTCATTAATCCTCATAGCAACCCTATGAAGTAGGTTCTATTTTTATCCTCATTGACAGATAAAGAAACTGGGGCATGGAGAAATGCAGTGATGTGCCCGACATCATAGAGCTAGTTATTGGCAGAGTAGCATATGAACTCAAACTGTCTGGCACTAGAATTTGCTCTCTTAATCACTGTGCTATACTGTAGGGAATAACTGGAGAGTTGGAAGTAAAATAGAAGGAAAAGGGAAAACGTTGGGAGGGACTAAAGTTAGAATAATTTCCATTGCAGCATTTTAGTGGAGTCTTCCCAGCATTAAAGTATTTAACGTAATGACTTGTCCTCCCAGTTTACATTTACATTTTGCAATTTGTCCTTATAAGTTAAAAAAAAAAAAAAGGTGTTGCTCAGTCCTGGGTATAATAAAAAATAAAATACTAAATTTTTTTTTTTTACTTGTCCTCCCAGTTTACATTTACATTTTGCAATTTGTCCTTATAAGTTAAAAAAAAAAAAAGGTGTTGCTCAGTCCTGGGTATAATGAAAAATAAAATACTAAATTTTTTTTTTTTAAATTAGGGGAGAAGAGAGATACGGTGGAATAAGTCATTTTAAGGGTTCAGAACCCCTGCTTGGAAACAAGCATGTATAATTTGAAAAAACTTCTCAAGTGGTTATGGTTTGTAGCCAGTTGAGAACCACTGTCTGAAATCAGGCATCTCCCTACTTCCCTGTGGTAGTTTAGAATCAGTGACAGAGCACTATTGCACAGCATGGTGGCTATAATAAATAATAATGCACTGTATATTTCAAAATTGCTAAAAGAGTAGATTTTAAATGTTTTCACCACAAAAAAATAAGTATGTGAGGTGATGGATTTGTTAATTGACTTGATTTAGTCATTCCACAGTATGAACATATATCAAAACATCACATTATACCACATAAATATATAATATATATATATTTTTAAAAAGTGACAGATGGGCCGGCCCAGTGGCGCACTGCTATAGTGCGCTGCTTGGGAAGCGCGGCGGCGCTCCCGCCGAGGGTTCGGATCCCACATACAGACCGGTTCCCGCTCACTGGCTGAGCGAGGCGCGGGAGCGACACCGAGGGTTGCGATCCTGTTACCGGTCAGTAAAAAAGACAAAAAGGAAAAAAAAAAGATGAAAATACTGTACTCTTAAGTCAGACGTATAGTATGCAAAATAGGAAGCATAAGACAAAAAAAGGGAAATCCAAGGGATTTGGCATACCAAATGGTTATGGGATGGCTTAGTCATTAGCTCCACTCCTTCTTAAAAAAGAGGCAATTTCTTTGCATCTCATGCTCTGACTTTCACAACACCATGGTTTTCAGTTTTCCACAGTTCTTACCTCTTGTTTGTCCACCAACCATATGAGCCAGTAACTGCATCACCTCTATCTAACACATTAATTTCAAGAATCCTATTCTTTTACCACCACACATTATCATTCCCCTTATTTATTCTAGAACTACCATGCTAGCCTTATGATGTACTACATGTCAAGTTAAACAATTTATCATATCTTTTCTATCAACCACTGACCCTTCCCTCAAAAAGAACTTCAATTTCTTCCTTACACTGCTTAAATTATAAGATGTACTACTGTAATCAGTCCCTTACAAACATTCTTAACTTCCTCCCCTTTTTCCGTGTTTCATACTTGCCTAAGAAAACTACAACGTTGATTGAACCCAACTATCTACCTGTTTCATACTTATTCCCAATCACTTGGACATTGTAAGAGAAAAACACAAAATTATTATGACTGGTCTCAGTTTCTGTTCGTGATTACATTTGAAACAGGCACTTAAACACCCTTCCTGTTGTGTCTGATTTTCCAGTGTCTAAAATCATCTTAATTTCCTTCCTTTCCTCCCTCTTTGCCTCCTGCCCTCTCTCTTTCCTTCCCCTCTCTGCTACTCCCATTCGCTCAAGCTGTGGATCTTGCTCACTAATTCAAAGAGAAAAGTAGAAGTGATTAGATAGGTGCACCTTGCGTATCACCAAATTCACCCACTTATCTGCTTCTCTGCAGATTCTGCTTCCCTTTCCTCTGTAATTCCTCTGCTCTTATCTAAGGGCTGACTCCTCCATTTACACTACAGAACCTGTCACCTTTGTCTTTTCCTGCAGTTATCTCTTTTCTTTCCTTCAGCAATTTTTTTGTTATGATAATACATACATAAAATTTACCATCTTAACCATTTTTACCTATATGGTTCAGTGGCATTAAGTACGCAACAGTCACCACTGTCCATCTCTAGAACTTTTTTCATCTTCCCAAACAAACTCCATACTCATTAAACAATAACTCCCCATTCCACTCTCTTCCAGCTCCTGGCAACCATCATTCTACTTTCTGTCTCTATGACTTTGACTACTCTGAGTATCTCATATAAATGGAATTATAAAATATTTGTCTTTGTGTGACTTAGCATGATATCTTCAAGTTTAATCCATTTGTAGCATGCATCAGAATTTCCTTCCTTTTTCAGGCTGAATAATATTCCATTGTAATCTAGACCTCATTTAATTTGTTCATTCATCTGTTGATTGTGTTCATAACGGACAAGAGTTCTGTTGAATGAGAAGAGGAGGTTTTTATGATGCTCACTTTATGGAGTTTGGGTGTTTTTGCTCTTTTTTTTTAAATTTTATTTTCGAACTTTTGTTTCATGGTACATACATTGTTAAGCAAAATTTATGTTTATATAACTAAAAATAATTATATTTTGAGACAGAATATCATTAAAAATTATCAGAGATAATTTTAAATATTTAAGAAAGTGCTGGAGTTAATTTATCTTGGCACTGTTGCTTCTATTTAATCTCTAGCGCTCAGTTGGATATGTTGAATATGCAGGGGATTTTGCTATAACATAAGATTCTTGGGCTATCAAATTTTAGGGACTGGTCTAGTGTATACTAGACCACACAAATATCACCAGCTTCTAAGATACAGTATCTAGAAATAGTCTTCAACAGTGGGTCTAACAGTGAACCCCAGACTTATCGAGGTACACATAGAAGACAAACTAGTCAGTACAGTAAATAATGTGAAATTCCGGTCCAGTTTTATGCTTTTCCCCCTGGGAATTCTGTTTAAGTAGGTGTAAGACAGCGCCTAGAAGTCTGTATTTTTATCAACCATTCAGGTAATCATAATGAATTGGCCAGTTTGAGAAACAGTGGTATAACTACTCCATGTGATTTTTTACCCTTACCCTTCAATTCCCATGCTCACATCTTGGCTAGTACATTAGGTCCTATTCCAAAGATAGTTAGCATTTGAGTGAAAAGGTAAAAATAAACTTTATCTGTGAATTTAGCTTTGAAAATTAATTACATCTGAGAAAAAATTATTTGAAGATTCAAAATATACCAGGAAAATAAACCCTTTATTATGCTTGAATATTAGAGGTCAATTTCAGAAATGATATGAGAGCTTTAAGAACTTTGATGCTGTGTATTTTTTATTTAAATAACATTTCTCTTAAATTTTTTGCTTTATAGAAACTACTCTTACCTTTGATTAGTTAGCTTTATCTTTACAGATAAGGCTAGCCTCTGGTACAGTGTCCTCCACCTTTCCCTGGAGTATGAAAGAGCAAAGCAGATTTCTTTCTAGGGAACATGAATGTGGGAAGGATGCCTGGGCTGGTAATAAGTTGTAATATAATAACAGTTACAGTTATATTGTGCCTACTGTGTCTTTGCTTTGAGTACTTTTTATATATTAACTCATTAATCCTCATAGCAACCCTATGAAGTAGGTTCTATTTTTATCCTCATTGACAGATAAAGAAACTGGGGCATGGAGAAATGCAGTGATGTGCCCGACATCATAGAGCTAGTTATTGGCAGAGTAGCATATGAACTCAAACTGTCTGGCACTAGAATTTGCTCTCTTAATCACTGTGCTATACTGTAGGGAATAACTGGAGAGTTGGAAGTAAAATAGAAGGAAAAGGGAAAACGTTGGGAGGGACTAAAGTTAGAATAATTTCCATTGCAGCATTTTAGTGGAGTCTTCCCAGCATTAAAGTATTTAACGTAATGACTTGTCCTCCCAGTTTACATTTACATTTTGCAATTTGTCCTTATAAGTTAAAAAAAAAAAAAGGTGTTGCTCAGTCCTGGGTATAATGAAAAATAAAATACTAAATTTTTTTTTTTTAATTAGGGGAGAAGAGAGATACGGTGGAATAAGTCATTTTAAGGGTTCAGAACCCCTGCTTGGAAACAAGCATGTATAATTTGAAAAAACTTCTCAAGTGGTTATGGTTTGTAGCCAGTTGAGAACCACTGTCTGAAATCAGGCATCTCCCTACTTCCCTGTGGTAGTTTAGAATCAGTGACAGAGCACTATTGCACAGCATGGTGGCTATAATAAATAATAATGCACTGTATATTTCAAAATTGCTAAAAGAGTAGATTTTAAATGTTTTCACCACAAAAAAATAAGTATGTGAGGTGATGGATTTGTTAATTGACTTGATTTAGTCATTCCACAGTATGAACATATATCAAAACATCACATTATACCACATAAATATATAATATATATATATTTTTAAAAAGTGACAGATGGGCCGGCCCAGTGGCGCACTGCTATAGTGCGCTGCTTGGGAAGCGCGGCGGCGCTCCCGCCGAGGGTTCGGATCCCACATACAGACCGGTTCCCGCTCACTGGCTGAGCGAGGCGCGGGAGCAGCACCGAGGGGTGCGATCCCGTTGCCGGTCCCGGTCCGGTACGGGGGCGACACTGAGTGTTGCGCTCTGTTTCCGGACATGGAAAAAGAAAAAAAAAAAAAAAAAAAAAAAAAAAAAGTGACAGAGAAGTGTTTCAGATGTTGTGCACTTTTTCTTTTAACATATGGTATTGGAGAAAAATCTGACTTGCCTTTGACTTAGCTGGAGTTTTTGAGTTATATAAAAACTAAAGGGGTCCTGTGGTATGAGAAAGAATAATAGAATGCTGAGCATCCTAGCCCTGGTCCTAGCTTTTTTCAAGTAGTTGCTAAAAACCAAGAATAATTATATCATGAATATTTACCTTGCCTCTTAGTCTTGTATAACCTAGGAGGAAGTGAGTTTGATCTCATCACTTTTAGCAGTGCAGCAAATCAGTCAGGGGCTAATGTATTCATTTTGATTCTCCCAGTCAAGGAAGCAACCCGGATGTCAGTGATCAGAAACCTGAAACATCAAGCCTTGCTTCAAACCTTACCATGTCGGAGGAAAGTAAGTACCATATTCTATGCATAATGGAAGAGGCATTCCTATAAACAGGTGATGCTATTCTTGTATAATTGGTTTTCACTGATTGCTTTGTCTCAGGTGTCCAGACAGTTTTCCTGTCCTTGTGTGTGTATTCATCCTGTGTTCTCCTTTAAGCTTTATTGACATATCAGCTGAAGAAAAATCACATGGAATCCGCTTACCCAGTGATTTTATTTTTGTTTTGAGGTTGGTTGTTCTAAAGGTAATAGTGCCTTACTCAAAATCAAAAGTCTATGGGCTGGGTTCGGCCTGTGGCTCACTCGGGAGAGTGTGGTGCTGGTAACACCAAGGCCACGGGTTCGGATCCCATATAGGGGTGGCCAGTTAGCTCACTGGTTGAGCGTGGTGCTAACAACACCAAGTCAAGGGTTAAGATCCCCTTACCGGTCATCTTTTAAAAAAAAAAGAGAGAGAAAGAAAAGTTTACGGGCCAACACCTGACGACTTCTCTGGAGGACTTGATATTTGTCTACTGTTCTAATAAAATCAAATGGTCCCACCTGTCAATCTAGTCCAAAGAAGAAAAACAATCCTTGAGAGCCCAAGAACCAACCCTAACTCTCCTGTAGAATTGTTATATTCATGTATCAGACAAAAAATTTGTGAGTGTTCTGTTTTTTTCTTGTGTAGACATAGGCTTTTTATAGCATACCCACTTCCCCAAATTGCCTCTACAGGGCAAATAGTCCTCCCTGAAATTAAGTAGCTGTGCTTTTCCATATTTTACAACACACTTTAAAAGAATAAATTTGTGTAAGATACTTTAAAAAAAAAAGATACTTGTTATGGAAACATTTCTTCTCTTAAGACAGTTATCCTTAACCTTATATACTTCCCATGTATTAAAAATATAATATCAACAACAAAAAGGTATGTCTTGAGTTCTGTATATCATTTTCTTAAAGGTGATTATATTCCAATGGTTTGCAACTTTTAGCACACATAGCGATCGTGGAATGCCTGTTTGTAATGTAGAATTCTGGCCTCACCTTCAAAGATTATCATTCAGTAGACCTGATGTGGATGGGGAATCTGCATTTTCAAGAAGATAGCTAGGTGATTGTCATACATATGGGAAGCTCTCTATACTATTAGAAACTGCTCTAATCAATGAAGTGTCTCTTCTAATTTTTTAAATGTCCCACTCATCCCCAAGAAAAAGGCCTGTTCCCTAAAATCTTATACTTTACATATTTCAGGGCTAGGAAGTAAGTTGAGACTTCTTGCTCCCTCGAAATCATTCCTTTTTCTATTTTCCTTCAAAAACTTTAATTGCTTTGAAGTCTGTGTCTATACCTTCTCCTATCTTTCCTTTTCACCTTAGACTGAAATCCCAGTCATTTCATTCTTTTAAAAGTAGATCCTCTCTGTTTTCTTTTCTATCCAGACTCTTAGCACTTTTGGTGATTTTAACATTCATGTAGATGACTTACCCAGTATGCATTACATCCCTCTTATCTTCATTTTCCTTCTTACTCAGCATAGATTCTCTGGTCCTTTATTATAATTACTCTCTTATAAATATCTTCAGTAATTTTGCCTCTTGTACTCTCCTTGCTAAACCCCAATCCTAATTTAACCCAACTCTCTACCTTTTCCATAAGTACATACAAATAGTTAATCCTTGTTGGGTAAAATTATATAACTGACTGACTAGTTAAACCTTAGTCATAATCACAGGACCTCAAGTGAGCACTCAGCATGCTTGGACATCCTACTACATTTCCCTGATGAGTTTTTGCCTTTTAATATTTCATACCACCTCCTCTCCTCTCCAAATACCAATACTTACCTTTCCTTACTCTTAATTGATGACTTCTCAAATGAAAGCTATTGGACAGGAAACTCCCTTATCATCCCACTAACACCACATCTTCAAACCTACCTGTTTTTGTACCCATGTGTTTGTGCTTCCTTCTTGTCAGAATGGAAATAGTATTCTTGTTCCTGTCAAATGTAAGTCTTTTCTTTTTTTCCCCTTTTTGTCTTTTTTTGTGACCGGCAACGGATCGCAACCCTCAGTGTCGCGCCCGTAC